ATAAGCAATCCTGAAAAACACGGGGGTGCTTAACTTTTTTCCAGGTGTATATAATAGGTTTTAAAATGAAGTAGGGATCCTGCTATAAAAAGTATGTTGTAACTGGTTCTTTTAAATTATGGTTGAAAATAAGGCCAAGTTCAGTCAACATAACTATAATCTTGCTTTTCTACTTTATTGATCTTGTTGTTATAATTTTTCTGTACTTCATCAATTTTCTTATTACAACCTTTCTATACTTCTTCAGTCTTGTTGTTGTAATCTCTCTCTACATCTCTAGTAGCTTCATCAATCTTGTCTTCAGTGAGATTTATTTTTAATTTTAATTCTTCTTGAAATAGCATGTTTCTTACTTTTAATTGCATTATCAAATTACCCATCTCTTACCTCATGATAATTTAAATTGCTGTCCATTTGCTCTTGTTGTTCTCTTAATTTTCTATCTCTTTCTTGATATTAAAGGTTCCATTAACTCCAATATTATGCCTCATGAGGTAAATTCAAAATAATCCCACTTTGCACATAAGTGTTATAACATTGTTTTTTCTTTGGGTAAGTTCTTTTAAATTATTTGTTGAAAATAATTTGAAGTACAGCACACGTAATAATGAAAAATTAGTTTATTTACTCCTTAATGTTTGCTATAGCCTACAAATACTATTACTTGTTCACAGCTGACTTGTAGGCCTAAGTTTACAAATGACATTTCAGTGGAAATAATTTGCTAATGGCACTATGACAGAACTAATCAGCTGAGTAACCAAATGTATGTGATAACAAACATTCATATGAACTCTTCACTTTGTCTGATATTAATAACTGAAAACTGACTCAATGCCTCACTAGTTCTTGTATTTATAATGTAGCGTTATTTCTAGATATTTCGCAAAGCTTCTCAATCATTACAACACTGAAAATATAGCTTACAACTATATTTATTTAAGTTTATAAAATGACTGAAAAATTATTCTTTTACAAGAGTGGTAATACAATAATTTGGAAACTTTCTAAGACTGAATAGTAAAAATGTTTAATTTAAAGCTGAAACTTAATTTTCTTCTCTCTTATGAGTAAAAGTCTTTACATTTTGTTGTAGCTGAAAATTCCTGGTCTGTTACTTAAATGGTATTATAAGTTAATTAATTACCATTAGATCCAGTAAATACTATTTTTGAAATACGTGTATGGTAAAAAATATCACCATAATATATGAACAACGTTTTTGTTTTTTTTAATTTATAGTCAAGTGGTGCATTTGTGTTTGGGGCAATGAGTTTTTTGGACAAAATATCCAATGGTCTAGCTATTGTGATCATTCAGGACATACACCCTTGTGTGTAAGTACATAGTTGAAGTGATATGTTAAGTGCAGTTTTCAAAAGTTTTTATTTCTAGAGTTCTTATATGTTAAATACTGTGTAAGTTACAGAGAATTAAGTAAGACTGTGAAGTTCTATAAAGTTAAATATAGTATGTTCAGTTCCAGTTAATTAGTACTTTTACACTTAGAAGAATAGGTACTGTGTAAATACATTTCTAGGACTAACTGTTCTATACGTACATTTCTAGAAAGTTTTGTGATAAATTAGGAGTTGCAGTATTTTGAAAATCATCAGAATACATAAAGTAACTGAAATGTAATCGATGCTCATTCGTAATCAATTATGTCAAGTTAATTACTAGTAACAACAGATCTAGAAAGTTAAAGTAATATAGAAGCTCAGGTGTAGAAATACAAGTTTTTGTTAGTGTTAAGCAGAGAGCTAGATATTAGGTAATATTATACAAAGTAATAGCAACATAGAAGAACGGGTGTTAAGATCTACAGCTCCTCTTAACGTATTTTGTGAACATTATATAAAAATATAAGATAGAATGTAGGAATTTATCATACTTCAAATTAGAATTAGTTAAATTTGTAAACTTATGACAAGATTTCTTCTACTGGTATATTTATCCATTTTAGTGAATAAAATGCAATTTTCGTGCCAAATTATAGTATAAACAAGATATATGAAGGACATCTGAGATTTGTAAACATTTTAAACTAAAATTTATTTTTTGAGTGAATTACTACTATTTTAATAAGCTTTATTATTTTGGAGTTTTACATATTGGTTCCTTTAGGTGGTGCTGTAAGGACTGTCAGTGGTACTACCAGTATGTTCTGGTGTTTTCTTGTGGAGGATCAGCCATTTTCACACTCTTCCTTCTTGCTACCTTAGCATGTTCACCAATAGGAGTAAAGACAAGAAGTGGTATAGAAAGTTTTACCTTGGTTTGAAATATAACTATTTAAGTCATTATTTTGTTCCTGTTTTCAAGTGTTAAATATACAAGTTCATCAGTTGGTATGAATGCAACTGTTAAAGGAATGACTATTCATCATTGATGAATTTCTTGATTTTTAACAAGCTCTAGATGTTAACTTCATTTGTCTTGTTCTAGAGCCCATTAAACTTTCTGAACAGTAGACCTAGCTTACAAATACAAGGTTTTCTTGACTATTGAAGAGCAATAAATCCCTAGTAGCCTAACTTGATAATTGCAAGGATCCATGAATTTCTGCACCTTCACCTCAATGGAATTGAGGTGATTTACATGCCTAAAAGTTCAGTAAGAGGTTTTTTAGATAATAAAAATATTTTTGTAGTTTATGAAATTGGTGGTAACATAGGTGACACTGTTTTTATTTTATTTCACCAGGAATTGCCAGATCTAACCGAGCTGTTGAAGAGATTAACTACAAAAATAATGATGGAGCATCACACTTAGGTATTCATGACAATGAAGATAATGACACAACAAATTTAATTGAAACTATGAGTTCAGTCAATTGAAAGTTGTGAGGTTTACCAATGCCTTTTACTTTATCCATATGGTCACTTGTAATGATGCTGCCTGATAAGACTATTATAGAAATAGACCTATGTTTGAACAATGTACAAGGTTTACATATGTTAAAGATTCTGTTAGCAGTGTCTTACATGTATGATTTTTATGAGTTTAATGGTACTGTTGATTGATTACATTGAGTACAAAAAAGAATGTGGACACATTACAGATTAATTATAGGTAAAAGAATATTAAAAAACAATTTACATTGTTTGTATGTATTAGTATTTTTATCAGGATTTACTGATTTATAAAGTTTGACTTTTCCATGTAAACTACTATTAAGAAATTTGTATGTTTTTTTTAATTATTTAAAATAGTTTTAAGGTCCAGCAACCATACCTGTATTTTAAAGTTGAGTTCTTAGTTATACCAGCTATTGAGACTCAAGTTTGCTCTTTTTTTATTAGTATATCCAAAACCAAATGAACTAATGTGGTACTAATCCTATAAAGGAAGCTTAAAAAACCACAGAGGTGTATTTCTGTTTTTATGTAGACATAGTGCCAGCTCTAACCTTTTCATGTTAACAATCACTGGAAAATATTACCCTAGGAATAAAGAAAAAGAAAATTTTTAAATTAAATATTTAGAAGCTCATATACTGGAGCAAAGTATTAAGATGTAAACAACTTTCGTAGATCAAATGTGATGCAATTACTCAACATACTACTTGTCACACAATTTCATTGCTCTGTTTCTGACAGTTTTGTTAATGTAGTTAGTTTTAAGGTTACAGACTTTCTATTAAAGGAGAAAATAAAGGTAAGCTGCAATGTAATTTCATTTACTCTCCAAATATACATACCGAAGTTAATAGTGAAGGTGTTATTATTGCTGTTGCATCTTACATATCATAGTTTATTTACTTAATATTTTTATAAACTTGTGTAGAAGCTGATTTTAAGTTGAGACTTTAAAATATTTATATGTATTTGGATGGTCATATTGTGTTCGAATTTTCTCACTAGTAAATACTCCACCACGGAGATGATACATGGTTTAAACAATTATTCTAAAATACTATTTGTTTAAACAGCACACTTTCAGCATCATGGGTTTCACATTTCTAAGAACCCCCCCCCCCCAAAAAGCACAACTCAAAGAATGCTTAAAATGTATTACGAATGTTATTTTATGTAAAACATGAAATGTTCTGTGTATTTTAAGATTCTATCCTTTTATTCATCCACAGTGAAATTATGCAACATAATTTGCTGTAAATCAGTTCTGTGTATGATTTCTTTCTTTCAACTATGGAAGAAAATAATGAATACCTTTTAATACACTGAATATTTTTAGATTGTGATCATTGCTACTGATTTTATTATATAGTATTAACTGGAAATATTGAATATTTTTTTCTGTGTATTTTCAGTTTTAAGACTTGTTGATAGTGTCTCGTATTGCTTAGAAAAAACTAACCCGAACACAAGGAAACACCTACACCAGCATCACTCATTCCCTCAGTATTCCTCAACCACTTGCAAAAATAAACTTGACAACTATTTCTTTGCCAATACAAAAAGATGCTTTTCTCTTTCCAAGAGATGAATTTTAACACTGATTGTTTGTTTTCATATTGTACAAATTTTAATAATAACATGAGGAAGATACAATATTTTATTTACAACTTTGGCAAGGTATTCAAAAACTTAAATTAGTTTATTACCAAGTGAAAGGGGCTCTTTCCCGCAGCATTCTCACTCCAAATCTTTGCCACTCTCCTTGTCTTATCCACAGTTCTTGTGCAGTGTCTAGACAACTCATGATAGCTGCACCCTTCCAAGATGTGATCCTAGGGTCCATATCCTAGCAGAATATATGATACCAGTCAGTTACAGGGTTCTGAAGTTTCAAAATTTTGTACAGAGGAATTAACATAAATAGTGGAACAATTGTAAAAATAGAGTTGGGAGTTCAATATTTGATGATCTAAACGAGAAACTTTGAAATTTTTAATCAAGATGAACTGATGGTTGTTTTCACTGTGTATGTGAATTAATTAATTAAAGTCTTATCTATTATAAATGAACTTCGAACCCTAAAAATAACACAACTTTGCTACAATTAAGTTTGTTTTGTATAACCTGTGTAATTATGTAAAAAAAAAAAATAATAATATTGTTACGATACTTGTACTTTATACCTATTCCTTTTACTCTGTATAGAATCTTGGAATTTTAGAGATCCTTGTAACTAATACATTAACTCATTTATAGGTGCTATTAACTAATCTTTAGTTACAGCTAGGATCCATATTCTAGCACTCAGTCTGATGACAGTAAGATGTATAAAAGTTATTCCTGAACAAATTAAGCTCAGTTTGTTACAGTATGATTATCTAATTAACAAATTGTTCCATGAACAAAGAGGAATTTATATCCTGTCAGCTAGGATATTCAATAACACTTAAGGAAGAAAACAGCCCTTGGTCCATAGTGGCTGTCCCATTCATCCCATCAAGCTCTTTCTTGAACACACTTAATTTTGTTGCATTTACCACATCTTTTAGCAATTAAATCCAAAGGCTGACGACTCTATTCAAAACATAAAATTACTTATTTTGCAGACTTCTACCCTACCAAATCTTAAACCTATGTCCCCTAATCCTATTAATCTTACCTTTAAACATAAAAAAATATGATGCATTAGTCCTATCTATTCCATTTTATGATTTTGAATATTTCAGTCAGATCCCCTCTGACCCTTCATTTATCAAAAGAAAATAATTTTAATGACCTTAACCTGTCCTCAAATGACATCCTCTCCATCCAGGGAATCATCCTAGTAGTCCAAGACTGAATATAATATTCAAAATGAAGCCTAATCAGAGACCTGTACTAAGAAATGATAACCTCCTTTGACTTCTATTCAATATTCCTGCATACACTATCTAAAACCCTATTTACTTTTCCACTGGCCTGGAAGGCAGAAAAGACTGAACAACAAAAACATCAAAATCCATAACACTGTTGAGTTGATTTTCAACCATCTGAGATACAACTAAATCCTTTGATGAATAAATCAGAATCTTTATCCTAGAAGTAAGTCTAACATTACTATATTAATATATCTTCTCATTTTAATGTAAAAACTAAATTCTCTTTATTGAAACAACTATTAAAAACAAGATAAAGTGGGTGATAGAAATACCATTTTGTTCTTAATCTTGTGATATTTTTAAAGCAATTACACATTCCAACTTTTTTTTTCTCATCATATTGTTATTAATTCTCTAATAATATGTAGACCAAGAACAGATTCTCTGTAGTTCAAATGCATCATCATGCAGTTAATAAAAGCTTGTTTTACAAAAACATGGCTTTAATATGAGTTTGTTCCTGGGGACAAAATAGTTCTGTGGGTTTGATTAGCAAAAATTCTAGCATATTTTTGACAATTATCATTTTAATGCATTATGGCAACTAAATTACGCACTAAAAGTTCTAATTACTTGCAAAGACATCCACTAATGAAAAATACGTAAATGTTATGTTTTTATTGTAATAACAATTTTATTCAGCTTCAAACCCTAATATTTAATTGAACCATACACATACATGGTATTTTATGAACAAAATAGTTCCTGGTATATAAAGTAAAACTGCAAGAAATACCAAACATCTCAACTGTCACAAAATAATGCAACAATTGATTAACCAGAGAAAGAAGTGACTTGAAGATATTGCAAGTGAACAAGGTTGCCATCAATCATTTTTTCAAATAAATCTAGTTTATTTCTGTGATACCTCATCACTCTCTTCACAATGAAGAAGAAAATGTATCGTGATTTTTCTGCAGTAATTACCCTTCTCACCACAGACCTCCTTTACTGTGCATGTCATGAGATTTTTAGTCAGTAACATGGTCATGGGTCAAAGGCAATGTCATTGCATTCGTTGACTCACATTCCAAATTTTAATGAACTACTATTTTATGAATTTATATCAACAAGTTTGGTATAAAATTGTAGATTATAATTTAAAAGTAACTATTAAGAAACACCTAAACATCGATTTTGTGTGTCACGTGGTATATTGATTGCAGCACTAGTTTGAATTAGATGTTTGTGATGTCAAAATACAAAGTATATAGTTTTGTACGAATTAGGAACTCGCATTACTGATATTGACAAACTAGAATATAAAAACCTGCTATCTTTTCTACTTGCCGAGATATCGCTCATGCACTGAATCAAACACAGTGGACCTGCTCATCTCTTTCCAGTTTTGGAAATGTTCCTTTATATACACTTTCTTCTGTCTATGACATGTGAATAACCAATCAAATGCTCAGCATGTCCCCCTAGTGGCTTTCTCAGCCATTTTCAAGTATTATGATGTCATCTTGTTCTTTCAATACAAATCTTCAAGCTGAGTCTTTAGTCTGCTCAAAATTTCATAGTTTTTTAGACCCAAATACAGATTAGTTACTAAGCTTGATAAATTATAGCGGAATTCTATGGTATCGATATAATAATTTATGAATTTTTGGTTATTTCAAATGCATATATAAAACCTAAAAAAATTATTTCATTTCACATTCTCCATGTGTGAAATTTGATAAAGCTTAGCAATCTACGACAAGCAGCAAAGGAGTACAAAAGTTGTAACCAGAAACAATAATTGTTTGCTTTACTTCTTTATTTACTGTCCTATATTTTAAGAAAAATATATTTAAAAAGTTATTTATAAATAGTAATAATGTATATACATCTATAATGTATAATAAATGAAATATGACTGCATTTTACAAAATACTGGTCTACTAAAACACAACCAAGACAAGTCAGTTTTATATTATTGGATACAGTAACATACGTGCACATGCACCGCATCATTGTAACTTCTGTATTGTTAGCCAGGCATGGCTTAAAGGTCAATATAATAAATATATATAAATGTATAATGTTATGATATTTAAGCCATTTAGTCTAAACACTTGAGTTTTTTTTTTTTAAATCGAGGTTACGCAGTATGTCAAATCGAACCAACCCATACAGAGATACAGTAATGAAAATAACACATAAAATATAAAGTGTTTTTTTTAATTTGATAACTATCTGGAGGCTATAAAGATTCTGCATGTGAAATTTGAAAATGTTCTGAGGCATAAAAGTATTTTTAATCTTAAAGTCAAAATTACTTTGCATGTTGGATAGTCAACATTTTGAAAGACAAAATTTTATGAGAAAATCTTCATACATAATTTTAAAACCTGAGTATTTTTTTATATGAAAGCCTTGTAATGTTTACCAATAACCCGCAAAATTTTGTAAAAATATGCACATCAAAAATCATAGAATAATTACTCTCATGGATACTTTCGTGGTTACGAGCTGGGTGGATTGCACCCAGCCCATAATGAAAGGGTTAAACTATTATTTGTTTATTCATGTTATACCAGTTATCATGGCTAATAATCCATATTTTAATAGAATAGAAGTTTTAAGTTCTTAGTTTTATAAGACAATATTAAAAAAAATTCCTCAATTTCCACTAACGTGAGAAATGTGACATTTTTAGCAGTAACATAGCAGCTCTGAGTTTGTTTTCTTTTCCAAGTACAAACTTTTAGCTCATAGCTCCATCATCTATTCACCAATTTTGGATCTAATTATACAGTTTTTGGACTCAGGAGGTCAAACCCTTTTGACTGATGTGTTTGACCACAACGAAGGTCTCATAGATTAATTTACTCTAATCCTGCCTAAAAGAATTTCAGTTTGAGGGTAGGCTGGTAGAGATCCTGATGAGTAATAAAAATCATATTGGGTATATGCGTGCCTCACACTTGATGTTGCTGGCAAGGTTTTCATCTATCAAATCAGGTATTATATTTGTTGTTTTGTTAATTTCTCTTTCAATACAATCTTCGTTCCCATGGGTTTGTTTGTTTTGGATTTTTTGTGCAAAGCTACAAGAAGGCTATCTGTACTAGCTATCTCTAATCTAGCTGTGAAAGACTAGAGAAAAAGGCAGCTAGTCATCACCATCCACTGCCAACTGAAAGGGCAAGTATGTTTGGTGAGATGGGGATTCAAACCTGCAAACTGTGAGTCAAGCACCCTAACCATCTGGCCATGCCAAACATCAATTAGCTTGGATAAATTTGCAACAGCTCTTGTTGCATAGTTAGAAAACCAAAAAATTTGTGATAGTTATGGGACATCGTCTGCTTTTTGAATGTTATTATTCTATGTTCTTTGGTGCATTATTT